CCGGCCCGGGCTCCGCCCCTCCTCCCCGCGCGGGGCGGGGGTCCTCCTCCGCCCAGGCCCGGGCCCCAGCGTTGCGCGCTCCCCCCAGGGTGCCATGGCCTCCCGGCTCCTGCACCGGCTGCGACACGCCTTAGGCGGCGACGGCCCCGGGGAGGCGGCGGCGGGCCCCGAGGCCGAGCAGTTCCCAGAGAGCTCAGAACTGGAGGACGACGACGCCGAGGGCCTGTCTTCCCGACTCAGCGGCACCCTCAGCTTCACCAGCGCCGAGGACGACGAGGACGACGAGGACGACGACGACGAGGAGGCTGGCCTCGACCCACTGCCCTCCGGGGACAGGGCGTCAGGAGACGACGCAGGCGAGTGCGGGAGGACGAAGGCGGGACCCCAGGGGCTTGATTAGGCCTGCATCCCAGCCGCGTTCCCGAGAGCACCTAGGGCGCCCTGAGTTGATGCAGCAGAAACCCACACTTCTGAAAGCGCCACCAGTCACTTCTTGGCTGTGTGACCTTGAGAGAGTCGCAACACCTCTTCAAGCCAAGTTTCCCCTGTGTCAGATGGGTGCACTCTCTCTCATCTCAGGGTTGTTCAGAATGTACAGGGCCTGGAATACAACTAGAAATGATGTGCTAGCTGTTTGGGGGAGATGTTCATTTAGCCCTTAGTGTCTGCCAGGCATGGTGTTTGGCACCTAGTACCTCTCTGGCCCTCAGTTTCCATTTCTGTCAAATGGGGATAAATCCTACCTCGTGTTGGGAGGATGAGTGAGCTCATGGCAATGGTCTGTGTGGACCCTGGGCCTAGGCCCATTGACATGACTGATCATGTGATTGTGCAGAACGGAGCCCCCCACCTGATGGGCAGCGTGGCAGTCAGCTCTTGGCACAACAACTGCAGAATTTCTGGAAAAAGTCCCGGAACACCCTGGTACCCCAGCGGCTGCTCTTCGAGGTGACCAGTGCCAACGTTGTCAAGGACCCGCCCTCCAAGTACGTGGTGAGTGAGGGTCCAGGAACCCTGGGCTGTGAGTCTAGAAGTATGACTAAGAGTAAGTTGGGATGACGCCAACTTCCTGAGGGGTCTGTGAAGTTATAAATGGCTGCCCCACTTTACAAATAGGGAAACTGAGGCCAAAAATGGGTTATTACTTGAGCAAATCCTCAAATGATGTAGTTTTCCTGAGTAAAATAGGACCTGGCTTTTATCCTGGTTTTGAGACTAAGCAAACTGGTGTGTGTTCTCCACCCAGCCCACAGGGTTTTTGCAAACTGCAGCAAGATGTAAGATACAGAGGAAAGGATATTATTTGGGTCAGATTTGATACCCAAGTTGCATGGGTTAGTGGCTAAAGAAATGGGCTTTGAGTGCAGACCAGCCTTGATTCAAACCCCATTTACTACCCATTGTTGGACTTTGGGTGAGTGTATAACTTTGATGATCCTCCTTTCCTCATCTGAGCAATGGGGATAATGCAGAGGATTGCAGCAGGAATTGAGACAGTGCACAAAAAGCCCTGAGCCTTGTGTCTAACATTATGAAGTGCTAGTGAAATGGCAGCTATAGTATTATTATTTAACTTTGGATTGAAGATGTCTGGCATTTAGGGCCTGCTGTGGCATTCTTGTAACCAAGGTGAACTGATTCTCGAAAACCCACCCACTACGTAATAATTTTGTCCTAAGGACTAGATTTAGGGAGCTGAAGGGGGAGCTGGGGTAAAGAGCAGTGTTGGGGGGAGTGCCTTGGAGTCCCTGTTTTCCTTGCTGTGGATAGGAGAGACTGACATGGAAAATGAGGTCTGTCAGGTCCTGCTCCTAGCCAGGCCTGAAACCCAGCTGAGCTTGCCACTTCTGACAGTGGCAGCTCTCTGCCTCTCACTCCCCTCCACCTCTGACTCAGCAGGAAGGGGGCCTGGAGCCCTGTCCCACATCTGGGCCTCGCCACCCCTCTCATTTGCTGTTAGTAAAGGGCCACACCCATGGGGTGATTCCTTCAGTTTGAGCAGGGGTTGACTCCAATGATTGAGTCTTAAGTGGCAAAGGCCCCAGAGCCCTGAGGTAGACGAGGGAGCTTACACAGAAAGGGTAAGCCAAAGAGCAGCTCAGAGGCAGGGAGGAATAGGGGTGACCCTTGGGACCTAGATGGAAATGAAATGACAAGATAGATCAGGATAGCCAAATATGCCCTGGCTGGTGTCTGGAGAAGCAAGTCACTTTCTCTGTACAGTGGGGACCCTAAGTCTCCATATAACTCCTGGGGTGGAGAGCACAAGCCTTGGAATTAGATTGACCTGCGTTTAAATCCCAACTGGGCCATTTGACCAGCTGTGACTTAAGGCAAGTCTTTGAACACTTTGCCGCCTCTTTGAACCTGCTTCCACAGCTGTCAAACAGAGATAAGGACACCCTCCTTGCAGTGCTGTTGTGACAATTAAATGAAATCATGGGGTAAAAGCACTTGGTACAGCAGGAAGCACAAGGAAAGGGCTTGAGTAATGGAGCTACCACCATTATTACCCATCTTGGCTGGACATTACAAGGATCAGATGAGATCATGGATATAGAGTGCTTTTTCTTGCCAAAAAGTTAGCAATAAAAATAAAAGCTAGATGAACATACGTGGTTATTACAGACCAGTGTGTCTTAAAATGTGTCCTGCCATTCTAAAGTAAATAGAAAATTTTAAAGTTTAACAATAAAGAAACTTATCTTGCTTTTGTTCATCTCTGCATTTGCAGAACACTGCCGACAGTGTTTTGTGCATCTTTGCAAATGCAGAGATGAACAAAAGCAAAATAAGTTTCTTTATTGTTAAACTTTTTAAATCCTGAATATTAAAGTCTCTGAATCTTCGAGTGAAGGATACAGTAGGCAAACCTAACTGACCAGGGATGGCTAGAATACTGTCAGTTCTGCAGAACGAATTTGAGAGAAAAGTCTGGGTTTGGTGTTAGTATGCCTTTAACATCCAGTGCTTGCTAACTCCTCTTTTAAACTTGTTGGCTCAGCATTATTCTAGATTATCCCATGTTTGGGTTCTCAGACCTGGGGTGGGGGGTGCGGCGAGGAGCTTAGTGGTCACCTTGTTTAGTATTCCTGAATCTCAGTCCCAGTACCTCCTTCCCGATTCTTGTCCTATTTTATTTTATTTTATTTTTTTGAGTTGGAGTCTCACTCTGTCGCCCAGACTGGAGTGCAGTGGCCGCTCCCGGCCACCGCAGCCTCGACCTGCTGGTCTCCAGTGATCCTTCCACCTCAGCCTTCCAAGTAGCTGGAACTACAGGCACGTGCTACCACCCGGCTAATTTTTTGATTTATTGTAGAGATGAGTTCTCACCAAGTTGCCCAGGCAGGTCTCAAACCCGTGGGCTCAGGCAGTCCACTCACCTCAGCCTCCCAAGGCACGGGATTACAGGCTGAGCCACCGAGCCCGGCTTCTTGTCCTATTTTAAAATGCAACTTGTACTATCCTTTGTTTAACATTTTTCTGAAATGAACTTATTTTTTCCTTAAATAAGTGTAAAAGCCAACTTTATAGCACTACTATATGTGGAAAGCTTCACTTGCTATAAAGAGAAGCAAGCATAAAAATAAAAGTAGAAAAAAGGAAACTATGAGGAGAGACTAAAAAAAAAAAACTGGAGCCAGGCTCAGTGGCTCAGCCTGTAATCCTGCGCCTTTGGGAGGCTGAGGTGAGTGGATTGCCTGAGCCCACAGGTTCGAGACCCGCCTGGGCAGTGAGACCTCATCTCTACAATAAATTGAAAATTAGCCGGGCGTGGTAGCGTGCGCCTGTAGTTCCAGCAACTCAGAAGGCTGAGGCGGAAGGATCACCAGAACCCAGCAGGTGGAGGCTGCGGTGGCCGGGAGCGGCCACTGCACTCCAGTCTGGGCGACAGTGAGACTCCAACTCAAAAAACAAAACAAAACAAAAAACTGGAATTGTCTTTTGGAGGACAGGTCCCTTGTAGTTCACTTGGAATTTGTTCCTTCGGATCAAACACCCAACCAGAATTTTTATCTGGAAGTTTTGAGAAGGTTGTGTCATGATTTGCAGAAGAAACCTTCCGAAATGTAACAAACAGGTGACTGGTTCTTCCATCATGACAATGCAACTACCCACACCACACTAAGTATTCAGCAGTTTCTGACGAAAAACAACATGACCCCTGTGCCCCACCCTCCCTGTTCACCCAATCTCACCCTGAGTGCCTCTGATTCATTTCCCTTGGATGAAAAAAGTCCTCAAAGGGAAACATTTTGCCATTGTGAAAGAGGTAAAACAAAAAATGGCAGAAGCACTAAAAGGCATCAAAATTGACATGTTCAAAAACTGTTTTGAGCAGTAGAAAAAGCATATCAATAGGTGTATTGCATCAAACAGAGAGTACTTTGAAGGGGACTGAAGTTTTTTGGGTTTGTTTTGTTTTTTGAGTTGGATTCTCACTCTGTTGTCCAGGCTTGAGTGTAGTGGCACGCTCACAGCCACCACAGCCTTGACCTTCTGGACTCAGGTGATCCTTCTGCCTCAGCCTTCCAGGTAGCTGGAACTACAGGCACGCACCACCACGCCCGGCTAATTTTTTTATTTATTGTAGAGATGAGGTCTCTTCAAGTTGCCCAGCCTGGTCTCGAACCCATGGGCTCAGGCAATCCTCTCACCTCAGCCTCCCAAAGTGCTGGGATTATAGGCGTGACCTACCACACCCAGTCTGTGACTGCAGTTTAAACATGTAAGAATAAATACACAATTTTTTATAAATGAATCCTGGGGTTTTTTTGGGGGAGTGCCCCTCATATGTCATTAAATCCTTCCTAGATGCTGTTGCCTAAAGGCGACCCTGACCTGAGATTCATTTTCTGGCTCTTCTTTAAAAATGGAGATGAGAAGCCGGGCTCGGTGGCTCAGCCTATAATCCTGCGCTTTGGGAGGCTGAGGTGAGTGGATTGCCTGAGACCGCGGGTTTGAGACCCACCTGGGCAGCGAGACCTCATCTCTACAATAAATCAAAACAAACAAACAAAAAAACAAGTTGCTGAGCGTGGTGTCGTGCACTTCTAATTCCAGCTGCTTGGAAGAATGAGGTGGAAGGATCACCTCAGCCTGGCAGGTCAAGGATGTTGTGGCAGAGAGCATGCCACTGACCTCCAGTTTGGGTGACAGAGTGTGACTCCAACTCAAAAAAAAAAAAAAAAATGGAGATGAGAAGTGTTTAAGAAGTGCTTTTTAAAAAATACTAAACTGAGAGCTTCTCAATCTGTAGTCAGAAAGATTAAAAAAGAATTAAAAGGGGGAACCACCTCCCATCTGTGATGCAATGTTATTTACTCCAGCACACCACCTAAAAGCCTCATGCACGAACACTTGTATACGTCCCACTCTCGAGTTCTAGTCCATTGTACTTCTCACAGTTGGGGTCTGGTCTGGCATAGCCCGGCCAGGGATGTGGGGGCCAGTTGTGTAGAGTGCAACAAGCTCCAAGCTGGTCCTAAAGATAGGCTCAGAGGCCCAAGAGATTGGCCTCGGTTTCGGTTTTCCAGAGGGGCTGTTGGAAGAACTAACTGCCCTATGGGAAGAAAGTACAGAAGGGACAAAAGGGGCAGCAGCCCTAGGCACTGAATCTCATGTCTGTCTGTCTGTCTGTCTTTCTCCCGTGCTGCTTTGGGCCTGGGTCATTTCAGACAAGCCTCAGGTAAGCTGGGACTGGGATCTCTAGCTCTGCCCTGGAAGCCCCCACCCCTCTGGGCCCAGTCCCAGGGTGAAGGGAAGAGGTGGGGGAGCAGAGCTGGGAGTATGGGGGCTAGGGAGGAAAAGGGCACATGGACAACTTACACCTGCCCTGACACCCACACTCCCCGCAGCTCTACACCCTCGCCGTGACGGGTCCAGGGCTGCCGGATCGTCAACCAGCCCAGATCTCTCGCCGTTACTCGGACTTTGAGCGGCTGCATCGAAACCTGCAGCGGCAGTTCCGGGGTCCCATGGCTGCTATCTCCTTTCCCCGTAAGCGCCTGCGACGGAATTTTACTGCAGAGACCATTGCCCGCCGTAGCCGGGCCTTCGAGCAGTTTTTGGGCCACCTACAGGCAGTGCCTGAGCTGCGCCATGCCCCAGACCTACAAGACTTCTTCGTGCTGCCAGAGCTGCGACGGGCACAGAGTCTCACCTGTACCGGCCTCTATCGTGAGGCTCTGGCACTCTGGGCAAACGCCTGGCAGCTACAGGCCCAGTTGGGCACCCCCTCCGGCCCAGACCGCCCCCTGCTGACCCTGGCCGGGCTGGCTGTGTGCCACCAGGAGCTGGAGGATCCCAGGGAGGCCCGGGCATGCTGTGAGAGGGCCCTGCAGCTTCTGGGGGACAAGAGCCCCCACCCTTTGCTGGCCCCCTTTCTAGAGGCCCATGTCCGGCTCTCCTGGCGCCTGGGCCTGGACAAACGCCAGTCAGAGGCCCGGCTCCAGGCCCTGCAAGAGGCAGGGCTTACTCCCACGCCACCCCCAAGTCTCAAAGAACTGCTCATCAAAGAAGTGCTGGACTAACTCTTGCCTAGACTTAAGGCCACTGTGGGGAGAGGGGCTACCCCAGGATGGGGGAGGGCCCTGATGAAGACATGGAGAGCAGCTGGAAGGCTGCAAGGGGTGCTGGGAACCCGCAGAAGTTCAACAAAGAGAATCTGCAGCAGGCCAGGGAGACTTACTTCTGCCAAGCTAGGCTCAGGATGAGCTTTGGTTGGGGTTGCCTTGAGATGGTGCAAGAAGTCTGACACAGCCTCTCCAGCCAGGGGCTGTGGTGCAGGTGAGGGTCAATGTCCTCTTGTCCGTGGGACTCCAAGCCAGTGAGGCAGCCTGGCTGAAGGCTGGGAACTCTGCCCCTGGAGCTAGAGAGAGGGTTGCAGTTCTGGCCCAGGGAAATTAAAGGCCAGTCACTCCAGTGGTATCAGTCTCTTTATTGGATGTGTGGGCCAGAGGGACTGTGAGTCCTGCCTCAGAAATGGCGGTAGAAGGAAGCTCCTTGAAGCCTAGGCCAAGCCAAGACTCTGGCTACAGCTTGCTTTCTGAGACTCGAGTCTTCACTCTGATCACACCCTCCTGGGCACATGACACGGCTAGGACCCCGTCCCGACGCCACAGCCGTCCGTGAACTAGCCCCCGAGAGCCACCTGTGGGCAAGTAAAAGGCTGAGAATGACTTCTCTGCTTTAGCACAGACAACCTCACTTCTTTTTTTCTGAAATGGGGTTTTGCTATGTTGCCCAGGCTGGTCTCGAGGGATCCTCCCATCTGAGTCTCCCAAGCAGCCGGGACTATAAGGTGCACGCCACCATACCCAGCTTCCAAATGTACTTCTTAAACAAGGTCTGGCCCAGGACAGGGCTGTCCCACATAAGAACACACTGAGTGTTGTGGCTGTTTCAGATCTCTAAGTAGTTCTTTGTGAGGTAACTGGGGGTAACTCCTCCCACAGAAACTCCACTTGACAGTTTAAAGCACTTTCACATATCAGCTTGCTTCCTCAAAAAGATCAGAGAAAGGAGCTCTGAGCCTCCTCCAGTAACTTGGCCAAGCAGATCTGCTGCACCTCTGGCCACTTGTGTTAGGAAACCTATCAGTTCCCTTGATAAATCAAGTGAGGTCCTCTAAGTGGTAAGCTGTGAAATATACCACCACTAAGGGAAAAAGGGTCTCAGGGAAGAAGACCTGAGGCCATGAGGCCTAGCCTCCCTTCTTGCCCCGCCTGGAGTTTTCTTCTTCGGGCTTTGGGCCCGAATTGCACATTTTTGAAGAGAACTGCTGGTTGCCCTTACACATAGCAGAGCTCACTTAGCTTCTGCAGGAGTCAAATGAAGCAGGCATTTTTTGTCCCATTTTCCAGATGATGCCACTGAAGTCCAGAGAGGAACTTGGCCCTGGGATCAGGCTAAACTTGAACCCAAGTGTCCTAACTTCAAAGTTGTTAATCTGGCATTGTGACGTAATCTTGACAGTACCCCTTAGCTGAGTATAAAGTTTGTCCCTGTTTTATAAAGTAAGGCTTTTCTTCATTTGAAATGTACTTCCTTGGAAAGGCAACCAGGGTTCTGAAGCTAGACACTGATGAATGACTCTAGGTTTCTCTCTGTCCCCTACAAGGAATGTCCAAGTAGTAAGTACCTTGGAAACCACTGAAGTTAATCAGCAGAATCACTTAGCCTCTTAAAATGGAGTTTCTAGGCAGAGCCTAGTGGCTCAGCCTGTAAGCCCAGCACTTTGGGAGGCCAAGGCGAGAGGATTGCCTGAGCCTTAGGTTTCAAGACCAGCCTGGGCAACTTGGTGACACCTCATCTCTACAATAAATCAAAAAATAAGCCAGGCATAGTAGCAAATGCCTGTGGTTCCAGCTACTTGGAAGGCTAAGGCGAAAGGATCACCTAAGCCCAGCAGGTCGAGGCTGCGGTGGCCTCATGGCACATAGGTCACTTCTTCTCCTGCACTCCCAAGCTTTTGCATCCTTATCTTCAAGGTGACGGGGTAAGGCTTGAGGATGGGACATCTGTTCTGCTCTAAATTTCTATGACATACAGAGAATATGATTCACTTGACCTAAGAGTCCCAGTTCTTGTCCCAGAGCATGTCAGATTCTCTCTATGAACCTGAGCAGATCCTATCACCCTCCTGAGTCTCTTACAACAGATAGTGGTATCCAAACCTGGTAGCCCATCAGACTGCATGCCACTATACTCCAGCCTGGGTGACAGAGTGAGGTTTCAACTCAAAAAAAAAAAAAAAAAGTTTCTAGGCCGGGCATGGTGGCTCATGCCATAATCCTAGCACTTTGGGAGGCTGTGGCAAGAGGATTGCCTGAGTCCAGGGGTTCAAGACCAGCCTGGGCAACTTGGTGAGACCTTGTCTGTACAAGAAATAAACCAAAAAAAAATAGCCGGGCATGGTGGTGCACGCCTGTAGTTCCAGCTACTTGGAAGGCTGAGGCAGAAGGATTGCCTGTGCCCAGCAGGTCAAGACTGCATTAGCCATGAGCGTGCCGCCACACTCCAGCCTGGATAACAGAGTGAGACTCCAAGTTAAAAAAAAAAATAGTTTCCTGGGCCTGCTGGACTTCATCCAAGACCTACTGAGTCAGGATCTTGGGGGTGGAATCAGAATTTATTTTGAAAAGCTCTCTCAAGTGGCAGTCTGATGGGCTACCAGGTTTGGATGCCACTGTCTGTTATAAGAGACTCAAGAGGGTGATAGGATCTGCTCAGGTTCATAGAATCTGACATGCTCTGGGACAAGAACTAGGACTCTTAGGTCAAGTGAATCATATTCTCTGTATGTCATAGAAATTTAGAGCAGAACAGATGTCCCATCATCAAGCCTCACCCCGTCACCTTGAAGATAAGGATGCAAAAGCTTGGGAGTACAGGAGAAGAAGTGACCTATGTCGTGTGCCACAGGAAGTGGGGTGAAGGCAGCATCCCCTGAGAAAGCAGGTGCCCTGCCACCCCCAGTCAGTGCCCTTGTCCCACATGGCCCCACACTCACCAGCCCAGGGGCTCTCGCACTCATAGAGCATCCAGTGGTCAGCTCGGAAGGGGGCATGGAACCACATGGAGTGGTCCAGCGAGACCATAAAGTGCACCTTATGCTGCCACCGGTGGGGCAGCAGTGCCGTGCCCAGGAAGGCATAGTCCGAGATGTAGGCAGCCACGCAGCAGTGCATCTTGATGTCGCCCTCCCCTGCAACAGGTCCCAGCCCCATCAGCCCTGGGCTCCTGGGCTTGCCAGGACCTGAAGGGAGGTGGATAAGAAGGGGACTCCCGTGCATGGATGGTGCAGATCAGTCATTGCACAAAGACACTTGGCACAAAGTGGGGGGGGGCAGGGATGAGATAAGGGAGGTAGTGACGTGGGGAGGGCAGGGGTGCATGAGAACTGCTTCAGGTTGGTACAAGACCTGGACAGGAACCTCAGTGAGGTGGCTTGTCTTCCCTAGAAAGGCCTCCATTGGGATTATAGTCACCTCCCCATTCTTCCCATGCAAAAGGCTAAGAGGCCCCTGGTGAGCTGAGCCAACTTCCCCATCATGCAGATAAGGAAACTGGCCCAAAGAGGGGAAGTAATGTACCCAAGGCCACGCAGAAAATGAGTGGGAGGCCTAGACCCCTGAGAGTTTTCCTCCCGAACATGGGGTCCTCTTACCAATATACCCCCGGGCTCGCACCCAGAACATCTGTTTGGGCTCCATTCTCTGCAGCTGGTTCAGGGTGGGTGGGTTTACCAGCTTGATCTCAAAGGGTACCTCCTGGGCAGCAATTCGGTTCAGCACCACTGGGTACCTTTCTTGGAGGTTAGGGTCCCTGAAAGTAAAGGGAAGAGGGAGTCTCTTGTCAGCATTGCCTCCCCTGACCCCCTCATTCTTCCACAGGAACTCCTGACATCCTCATAGCTCCCCTCCTGTCATGGCAGGCAGGGGAGTACAGTGTTATCCCTTCTTTGCCACATGTGACCCACGTGGCCTTGTGCTAGTTAGTCATCTCTCTGAGCCTATTTCTGCATCTGCAAAATGTGGATAATGATAGTGACCTACCTCCTAACAAACACTGGAGAAGATAATGCCTATAAAACCAGCACATCTAGCGTGCACCTTGTAGTTCTGGCTACTTGGAAGGCTGAGGCAGAAGGATCGCCGGAGCCCAGCAGTTTGATGCTGGGGTAGCCATGAGCATGCCACTGTACTCCAGCCTGGGTGACAGAGTGAGATTCCAACTCAAAAAACAACAACAACAACAAAAACCCACCAACACATATAGTGTAAGGCATATCCTACAATATGTACTGTTCTAAGCACTGCACATTCAATAGCATTCCTCACTACATCCCGTGAGGTAGGTACTTTGATCATCCTTGGATAAATGAAATAAGCAGAGTTCAAGTAGCTTGCTCAGAAATTGGAGAAGGCAGAATGTGGACTCAGACAGTCTGGTTTCATGATTCATACTTTTTTTTTTTTTTTGAGTTGGAGTCTCAGTCTTGTCGCCCAGGCTGGAGTGCAATGGCACACTCTTGGCCACCACAGCCTCGACCAGCTGGGCTCAGACGATCCTCCCGCCTCAGCCTTCCAGGTATCTGGAACTACAGACACACACCAACACGCCCAGCTAGTTTCTGTGTTTTACTGTAGAGGTGAGAACCAAGTTGCCCAGGCTGGTCGCGAACCCGTGGGCTCAGACAATCCTCTCACCTCGGCCTCCCAAAGTGCTGAGATTACAGGCTGAGCTACTGCACCTGGCCCATGATTCATACTCTTAACCACTTCATTTTATGAAACATTCAGAAACAGGCTGCCTGACTGAGTTACCTAATTCTAAGCAGTAGGGAACCATGTGTCCTGGTTGGAGAGGCCCATTTCCAGGGAAGCCACCCATAGTGCTCTTCACAGGTACTGCAATTTTCACTCTGTCTTCTGGAATGCTGTTCAATAGACCCTTCTGTGTGATGGAATGTTCATCTGCACTGTCCACCATGGTAGCCACTAGCCACATGTGACTACTGAGCACTTGAAATGTGGCTAATCGAGTGAGGAACACAATTGTTAATTCTATTTATTTTTTCTTTTTGAATTGGGGGTCTCACTCTGTGAGGCCCAGACTGGAATGCAGTGGCATGATCACAGCTCACTGCAGCATTGACTTCCTGGACTCAGGTTATCTTCCTGCCTCAGCCTCCCAGGTAGCTGGGACTACAGGTGCATGCCACTGCACTTGGCTCATTTTTTTAAAATTTTTGTATATTTTTTATAGAGATGGGCTCTCACTATTTTGCTCAGGCTGTTCTCGAACTGGCCTTAAGTGATCCTGCTGCCTCAGCCTCCCAAAGTGCTGGGATTGTAGGCATGAGCCACCATGCCTGGCCTCGATCATTTTTTTGTTTTTGAAATTTTTTTTTTATTTTAAAGATGTGGGGTACAACTCAGGGTTAGGCATACAAATGTTCATTATACAGGTACCCTTGTTGATGAGGTGTCCTGCCCCCATCATTAATGAAGAAACTAGGGCCCTGAGAGTTGAGCCAAGTCACACAGCAGGTAAGCACTAATAGAGACACAGCCCTGGCCAGAATCTATGTGTCTATCCTGTGTCTGGACCCAGAGCTCTTTCCCCTGTATCTGCATTTTGAAACTTTATTAGGTGTGCTCCAAATAAGAAACATATTTTACCAGGTATTCAAAATATTTAACATGCTCCCTGGTGGTCTAGTAGTTAGGAAAAATATATAGATAGATAGATCTCACACACGCACTAAGGCAAAGGCAGTGACCAAATGGTCAAAGCTCTCCAGCAGGGTACCAGAGGATACTCACCCCTGCCACGCATTAACTCCTAAGCTGCTGGACCATGGGCCTGAAGGAGGAGAGAGGGTCACTCAGGGGACTGGGAGGTGGCTATTTACCAAGTGGTTAGAGAAGCATTTCAATATTTTAACCAGTAAGCTGTACCAGTGCCTGTACTGGCTGAAATAATTCCTGTATTTTATACTATGACCCAATAGACACACGTACCAGAAACACACACAACTGAAACTAAAGTTTCACAAAAGGGGCTGGGTGCGGTGGCTCACACATGCAATGGCAGCTCTTTGGGATGCCAAGGCGGGAGGACAGCTTGAGCTCAAGAGTTCAAGACTAGCTAGGGAACAGAGCAAGACTTCCCCTCTACAAAAAAATCTAAAATTAGCCAGGCATTGTGGCACATGCCTATAGTCCCAACTACATGGGAGGCTGAGGCAAAAGGACTGCCTGAGTCCAGGAGGTCCAGGCTGTAGTAGCCATGATTGTGCCATTGCACTCTAGCCTGGGCAACAGAGTGAGACTCTGACTCAAAAAAACTAAAGTGTCACAAAAGGATTCTTACCTTTATCACATACAAGATAGTCCAATATTCTATTTTCTAGTCTGGATCTTTAAAATGCTGGCCAAGTCAGGCACAGTGGCTCATTCCTGTAATCCCAGCACTTTGGGAGGCCAAGGCGAGAGGATTACCTGAGCTCAGGGGTTTGAGACCAGCCTGAGCATCGTGGCAAGACCTCATCTTTACAATAAATAAATAAAAATTAGCTGGGCACGGTAGCATGCACCTGGAGTTCCAGCTACTGGGAAGGCTGAGGCGGAATGATTGCCTAAGCCCAGTAAGTTGACGCTGCGGTGGCCATGAGCACACCACTGCACTCCAGCCTGGCAACAGAGCAAGACTCCAACTCTTTAAAAAAAAAATGCTAGCTAAGCCTGGGCGCAGTGGCTCATGCCTGTAATGCCAGCACTTTGAAAGGCTGAGTCAAGAGGATTGCCTGAGCCCAGGGGTTCAAGACCAGCCTGGGCAACTTAGTGAGACCTCGTCTCTACAATAAAACAAGAAAAATTGAGTGTGGTGGCACACACCTGTGGTTCCAGCTACTTGGAAGGCTGAGGCAGAAGGATCACCTAAGCCCAGCAAGTCGAGGCTGTGGTGGCCATGAGTTTGCCACTGCACTCCAGCCTGGGTGACAGAGTGAGATTCTGACTCAAAAATAATAAAAAAATAAAATGAAATGCTGGTCAAGACCCACTAAAGGATTCCATGGCCCACGAACAGAAGACAACCGCGTTTGAAAACACTGCTCGGAGCCTCTGGGTCTCTCACCTTAAATACTGTTGGATGAGGGCCTGGTAGTCAAGCAGCTCCTCCGGCAGTGGCACTGTGGGCATGGAGAACTGGTGCTGCACTGGGCTGGGCTGGGCCTGCTGGAAGGAGGCCTGGAAGATGAAGATGGGCTTGCCATGTTGCACGGCCTTCACGGAACGCACTGAGAAGCTCGACCCTGTTCGCGTCCGCTCCACCTGGTACAGCACTGGCACCTTTGGGTCCCCTGCAGTGGGCACAAGGGACATGCTGAGCCCCTGCGTGGGTCCCATAGGCCCTGTCATCATCACTGTGCCTGGACAGGCACTCTGCTACTCGCCCTTCATTCTGTTTCTCCTCGATAGCTGATTGAGGTCTGCCAAGGCCCAGGCACTGAGGATAGACAGAACACCAGGCGCTGTCATCAGGCTGCTCCCAGGGCAGTTGGAACTCTTTCCTAGTAACACCAACAGCAGGACAGGGACATTGCCAGATTTCCTGCATTCCAATGTTGGCTCTGCCACTCACCAGGTGTGTGACTCCAGGGACATCACTTAAATTCTCTGAGCAATGAACTCATTTGTAAAATGGGGATCATCAGTGCTCATACCTCACAGGACTTAAACGAGCTTTAAATGACATCCTAGGTGTAAAGTGTTTAGAATAATATCTGGCACACAGTAAGTGTTCTCTAAGTGTTTGTTAGATAAGATAAATAATACAAGTTTCTGTCGTGCTCCATTTGTGCCTGGGATCTTGTCATGAGTCCCAAACCATTATTCTAGATCGGGGTCAGCAAATCTGGCCTGCCGCCTATTTTCTTTGTTGTTGTTTTCTTTTCTTTTTTGAGAACAAAGACAATTCAGAGCTTGTTACAGCAGGAAGGCAACCACCATCACTTGCTTCTGGCAGACACTCAGAGGCAGGCAGAGGAGTGGGAAAGCTCTCTCATCGAGAAAAGCCAAGGGCTTCAGAGATGCCCTGATGGGAAGCCCCTGGCCAGGGAAGTCGCAGGTGGGCTATAAAGTGGGGTATCCTGTGTAATTGGTTAGGGCTGCTTATTTGGTTTTTCTCGTTGGTCCTAAATTGGAAGCAGGGGCAAAAATTAGGGAAGCTGTCAGTTACTAACCAAGTGCTGGCTATTCCAGGCGATTGTTACAGGGGCCATTATTTGGCTTCCTGGCAGGTTGCCAGAGATAGTGGTCTGCCTTCCTACAAATCTGACTTCTAGATAGTAGGTTACTTCCTATACTGGTTGCTACTAATTATAGATCAGAATTCTGTTCTTACACATGATCTGAGTTGGTATACTCAGTCTCCAGGAAAGACCTGCTGTCAGTCGCCTCACGCCAGATGTAAATAGAAGTCACATGGCCCTTCACTGTCAGGTGTCTGGGCTCCAAAGCAGAGTGGAAAGTATTGGCCTGGGGTAAAGACTACTGGCCATCAACCAGCAAGTGAGGGAGAAATTTTATAGGCAGAGAGCCTTCCTGAAGTTCTCACTTTGTCAGTCAGAGTGACCTTGGGAAACCCGACACCTGGGCCTTGAGACCTCCCAGGGCTGATTTTCAACTTTCAGATGAAAGCAGCTCTAGAGAAGTGTTGCCTCCTCCACCCTGATCCAAATGGGAACCAACCAGACCTCAAAGGCAATAAACATTGCACCACAGGAAGGTTTGCTTAGATGTCTGTTATCAGGCATTGCCACAAAGAGCACTTTTATTAGAATGGGACCGCCTCAAGGTCAAAGGTCTCTAAGGAAGGGTTACCAAGAGTCCAGATAGCTACAGGTGCAGTCTGATTTCATACCCTGGGAAGAAAGCTTCCCCTTCCTACCACCAAATCAAATCATGGGGTTGCAGCTAAGCAGAAAACTCATGGTGATTTACCGTTCAGTGAGAACAAGTTTCAGGCCTAGTCTTGGAAATCTTTATTGGGACAGAGCAGGTAGGCCCTGGAACATAATAAAGGAAGAGAAGTTATGGAGTAAGTGCCGGGTGCCAGACAGCACCAGACTACTAGACTATGTTTTCTCATGCTAGTCTCACAGTAACTATATAGAATGGGTCGTATCCCTGTTGTAGAGATGAGGAAACTGATGCCTTAAAATAAAGCTTTTTGTAACACAGTCATGCTCATTTGTTTATATATTGTCTATAGTTGCTTTCACCAACAAAACCTAAAATATTTACTATCTGGCCCTTTACAGAATGTTTGCTGACTCCTGCTCTGGATTCTTCAAACTCTAAGTTTAATTCTGTAGAGAAAAACTAAAAACAAAAATCCAGCTGATTAAATCGTTCTTGGAGTTTTTGGAAAAAGAATATGAAAATGGTCAAGAACCAATCCTTCCGAAGCATCTCTTATTTTTAAAATTATTTATTACTTTTTGAGTTGGAGTCTTACTCCATTGCCCAGGCTGGAGTGCAGTGGCACGCTCACAGTCACCACAGGCTATGGTGATCCTTCCGCTTCAGCCTTCCAAGCAGCTGGAAATATAGGCACGTGCTACCATGCCCAGCTAATTTTTTTTTATTATTGTAGAGACAAAGTTCTCACCAAGTTGCCCAGGCTGGTCTCAAATCCACGGGCTCAGGCAATCCACTCGCCTTGTCCTCCCAAAGTGCTGGGATTATAGGCTGAGGCACCGAGCTCGACCTTATTTATTTTTTGTGTAGGAGTCTCACTCTGTTGCCCAGGCTGGAGTGCAGTGGCACACTCACGACCACCACAGCCTCGACCTGCTGGACTCAGGTGATCCTTCCTCCTCAGCCTTCCAAGTAACAACTACAGGCATGTGCTACCATGCCCGGCTTTTTTTTTTTTTTTTTTTATTGTAGAGACAAGGTCTCACCAAGGTGCCCCTGCTGGTCTCGAATCCCTGAGCTTAGGCAATCCCCTCACCTCGGCCTCCCAAAGTGCTGGGATTACAGGCTTGAACCACTGTGCCTGGCCAGCATCTCTTATTTTAAAATATCACTGAAACATCATCATTGCTTATAATATCTGACGTATCAAGTACAGAGTTACATCACAAACTAATAAGAGAGTTTTTGTTTGCCAGAAGCTCAGAACTAAATTTTGTGTACAACTGCAACAGTATGTCTTAGCCTAATTTTTTGACACAATCATTCCCCGCCAAATCCCCTGTTACTAGCTGGCTGTCTTTTATTTAATAGTCCTATAATAGCTGCCAATTATTTTAAGCTATCTTGCAGTCTTTCAAGAAGCAGGCAGGGACACAAATAATTGATGGTTACTTTTGAAATGGCAGCTTGGGCATGACTCATTTCACACTGCTCCTGGAGAATTTCCAAGGAAGAGGAATTTCCCCCTAGAATCTGGGATTGGCAAATTGGCAGCTCAACCATGGTATGGAATTATCTCCCAAGAGTGAAAGAGAGAAGCAAAGAAGGAGGAAAGAAGTTTGACCCAGGAGACACACAAACCAAATTCATATCCTGACTCTGCCTCCTTGAGCACTGTGGAAGCTGGTTTACAAATTCTCTTCAGGTCCCAGTTTCCTCAGGTAAAAATGATGGCAGGAGTGCTCCCTGCCCATGTTTACTTTTATTTTTTTATTTATTTTTTTTGAGTTGGAGGTTCACTCTGTCACCCAGACTGGAGTTCAGTGGCTGCTCCCGGCCACC